CTGTGTGTCTGTGTGTCTGTGTCTCTGTGTCTCTGTGTCTCTGTGTCTCTGTGTCTCTGTGTCTCTGTGTCTCTGTGTCTCTGTGTCTCTGTGTCTGTGTGTCTCTGTCTCTGTGTCTGTGTGTCTGTGTCTCTGTGTCTCTGTGTCTGTGTGTCTCTGTGTGTCTGTGTCTCTGTGTGGTCTGTGTCTCTGTGTCTCTGTGTCTGTGCGTCTGTGTGTCTGTGTGTCTCTGTGTCTGTGTGTCTGTGTGTCTGTGTGTCTGTGTCTCTGTGTGTCTGTGTCTCTGTGTGTCTCTGTGTGTCTCTGTGTCTCTGTGTGTGTCTGTGTGTGTGTGTCTGTGTGTGTGTCTGTGTGTGTGTGAGACTGTGTGTGTGTCTCTGTGTGTGTCTCTGTGTGTTGCTCTGTGTGTGTGTCTCTGTGTGTCTCTGACTCTGTGTGTGTCTCTGACTCTCTGTGTGTCTCTGAGTCTGTGTGTGTCTCTGTGTGCGTCTCTGTGTGTTTCTCTGTATGTGTGTCTTTGTGTGTGTCTCTGACTCTGTGTGGGCCTCTGACTCTGTGTGTGTCTCTGAGTCTGTGTGTGTCTCTGAGTCTGTGTGTGTCTCTGTGTGTGTCTCTCTGTGTGTGTCTCTGTGTGTGTGTGTCTCTGTGTGTGTGTCTCTGTGTGTGTCTCTGTGTGTGTCTCTGTGTGTGTGTCTGTCTGTGTGTCTGTCTGTGTGTGGCTGTGTGTGTGTCTGTGTGTGTGTGTGTCTGTGTGTGTGTGTCTGTGTGTGTGTCTGTGTGTGTGTGTGTCTGTGTGTGTGTGTCTGTGCGTGTCTGTGCGTGTCTGTGCCTGTTTGTGCGTGTCTGTGCGTGTCTGCGCGTGTCTGCGCGTGTCTGTGCGTGTGTCTGTGCGTGTGTCTGTGCGTGTGTGTCTGTGCGTGTGTGCGTGTGCGCGTGCGCAAGCGCGTGCGCGCGTGCGCGTGTGCGTGCGCTCGTGCGCGCGTGTGCGCGTGTGCGCGTGCGCGGGTGCGCGCGTGCGCGCGCATGCGCGCGTGCGCGTGTGTGTGTGTGTGTGGGTGGGTGCGCGCGTGCGTGCGTGCGTGCGTGCGTGCATGCGTGCGTGCGTGCGTGCGCGCGGGTGTGTGTGTGTGTGTGTATGTGTGTGTGTGGGTGTGTGTGTGTGGGCGCGCGCGCGCGTGCGTGCGTGTGCTCGTGCGCGTGCGCGTGCGCGTGCGCATGCGCGTGCGCGCGCGCGCGTGCGAGTGCTGAGCGGAGCGTGCGTACGCGCGGCCGACCCTCAAATTTGAGATTTTAGTGTGTGTGTGTGTGTGTGTGATGTAGTTAGTGAGTTTGATGTGTGTTGTGGTGAGTGTTGTGGTGGTGTGATGTGTGTGTGTGTTGTGTGTGTGTGTGTTGTTGGAATTGTGTGTGTTGGTTGGTGTGTGAGTTGTGTGTGTGTGTGATTGTGTGTGGTGTGTGTGATGTGGATGTGAGTGTTAGTTTTGTGTGGGAGTAAGAGTGTGTGTGGGTTTGAGTGTGTGAGGAGCTGTTAGCGTGTGCGTGTGTCGAGAATGCGTGTGTGAGTTCGTGCGTTGTGCGTGCGTGCGTGCGTGCGTCCGAGCGCGTGCGCGTGCGCGAGTGCGTGTGCTTGAGGCGTGTGCGAGTGCGGGTAGCGAGCTCGAGTGCTTGTGCGTGTGCTTGGTGCGTGTGCGTGTGGGGAGTTGGCGTGTGTTGGTGGTTGGAGTGTGTGTGTGTGTGTGTGTGTGTGTGTGTGTGTGTGTGTGTGTGTGTGTGTGTGTGTGTGTGTGTGTGTGTGTGTGTGTGTGTGTGTGTGTGTGTGTGTGTGTGTGTGTGTGTGTGTGTGTGTGTGTGTGTGTGTGTGTGTGTGTGTGTGTGTGTGTGTGTGTGTGTGTGTGTGTGTGTGTGTGTGTGTGTGTGTGTGTGTGTGTGTGTGTGTGTGTGTGTGTGTGTGTGTGTGTGTGTGTGTGTGTGTGTGTGTGTGTGTGCGTGTGCGTGTGCGTGTGCGTGTGTGTGTGTGTGCGGGTGCGTGTGTGTGTGTGTGTGGGTGCGTGTGTGTGTGGGTGGGTGCGTGTGTGTGTGTGTGTGTGTGCGGTCGTGTGTCCGTTTGTCGGATTGTTTGTTCGTTTGTTTGCCTGTTGTTTGCATGTTTTAGAGGGTGCCCCTTCAACCTGGTCCAAGGGGCCTGGCTCCAATTTTGCGATCCAAATGCCAGGCCTGGCTCACGCTGTCCTTGTGAAGGCGGCCAAGTGAAATTATTGCATGGCCGGGTGCTCAATGAGGGAATCAACGGGGCGTGTGGGAAGTAAGTCTCAGAGCTGTTGGGATCAACAGGGGTTTGTGTCATCCACTCTCAGGGTTTTGGGAATGAAGCAATGGCTCCCCCTCAAACGGCGAACAGATTGATAAGATTGGGTCGATTTGTGAATTGTAGGCATGGTCATGGCGCCTTTTAAGGAATCCTAACTGTCGTAAAAAGATCCTAAGGGGGCTGTCATAGTTTGAATTGGTGGGCTTCATCTCACCTACACAAGGGTTTGTCTCCACCCGCCATGTCTGAGGGTGTTCCTCATTGAAGCTTTATGGCCGTGAAAGTGGACATCAAGATGGCGAGCTTCACACACACACAAAAAGCAGAGCGTGTCATCAAGAAAGACACGCCCAAGCTCAGGTCAGAGTTGAGCAATTGCCTTGGACAAGTGTTTCGTGCAGGCGCCGATGGATTCAGACCCGACACGCCGTTGCAATGGCTCTGTCTGGGTCAGCCAGCTTGCTCAAAGGCGCATCGCCATTTTATTCTGTGGGGACTGCTGGCCTCCGTTTGGACGCCAACCAAACAAGCAAACAGGCCTATGTGTGGAAGACACCCAAATATGGTGGATACTAGGTCCGGGAAAATTTGAAGGGCCAACAAGCCGCTCTCAAGAAAGGTCACCCCCCGGGTAGACCAACTCTCAAAACGTGCTACGGACCCCTTCAAGTACGTTTGGCTTCATGTTGGAGGCGAACCCTTCGCTTCTTTCCCTTTGCAAGTTTCAAGCCTGGGTTGTGTCCAGCCCAAAATGAGCGGAAAACATCTGCCCTGAGATTTGGACTCTTCAAGTCCAACTGTCTCTTGGCTCTCTGGCTCTGAAGGTACCTTTTTTGGGAACCGAAGGGAACAGTTTCAGCCCATGGGGTTCGCATCCCGGTTTCACCATCATGGCTCGCATGACTCTCGGCTCCTCCAGCGGTCCATGACTTAGCTCCGCGCTGCTGGATCTCCTCGCAGCCGGGCTCCCTTTTTCAGAACCCCCGTTTTTCAAAGGGAAACACAACGGAGCTGCTACAATTTTAGATCATACGTCCTCATACTTGAAGACATGCCAAGGTCTGCTCTCTTGGGGGGGCGCTGGCTCATTTCCGCACATGGGTTCCGCGCATTTAGTTCATCACTTCTTGCGGGGGGTTCAAAGGAAGAGGAAGTCTCCCTTTTGGTCTGATCCATCCAACCAAGTCAGCACTTCGGTCCGCTTTTCTGAGTACACCTCTTCAGATTGGTTTGAGGGCAATCAAAAAGAAAGCAAATAGTGGTCCCCCAATATCCCCCCGGTTTTGACATCCAGGCAAAGATCAGTCCAAATAGGTTTCTTGCAGTTGCACAGGCAAGTGTTGGTCAGAGGTTAGCGCGACTGCTTTTGAGTAAGGACCTTCAGGACGCCTCGTGTGCGGCAGTGACTGCATGTTTGTACGCTCTATGGTCGAATGGGAGCATGGAAGAGAACAGGCTCTTTGCAATGGTGGTCTCCAGCAAGAAACAAACGACCTCTTGTGAGTGTCTTTGCGGAATCTTACAATTCTACAGCCAGGAGTCATGCCATTTTGTCACTCCCAGGCTTGCTTGCTGGTTTGCTTGTTTGCTTGCCTGCTGGCTCACACAAGCCTCTTTGGGGGCCTTTGGGAGTGTCCCCGACGCAATCGTCTGCGAAAACACGCCGGGCCACGCTGCGTCAGTAGGCGGTGCCTCCGCGAGCAAAAAACAGAAACCCGCCCGCAGTCTCTCCGCTCAATCAGCTGGGACCCCAGCGTTCCACCCCGGAATCGGCACACTTTTCCTGGGCCCAGCGGGTGCTGCTTACTGCAAGTGGTGCAAGTGCTGTAATGCTGTTAACACAAACAAACTTGTAATCTGCACAACTCCTGTTTCTCATGGGCTCGCAATGTAGTAAAGCTCAAGGCCTGCGGGCATGTGCAAGCTATGTAGTACAACACCGCATGTACTCTGGCAGTGTCCCTCAGTTAAAAGATCATGTGGTATCTTTCAACTGGAACGCAAACAAATGTTGTTCATCCGTGCTACTGTGATGAAAAGGGAAAACAGGTGTAGTCCTCAGTAGCTCTTGCTGTTCAGGATTCAGTCCCTGATGCAGTCGGACTGGACGGAGTTCGTGTGGAGGTGCCTGTTGTTGTAGTGCCTCATGTAGGCCTACGGGTTGTTGTGCCAGTAGTCTCTTTGAGCCCGGTGGAGGTCCAGCAGTGAGTGTGGCTGGCATCCGCATGTAGTTCAGGAATTCTTCACCTGATCCGCGCGTCCTGTTGTAGTCCTTTACTGGGAAAACGGGCATCGTGATGCGCCGTTCCCGAGGGGTGCGTAGTAGTTGCGCGTGGAGCGCCTCGGAGTTATGTGTGTTGGTCAACAAGTAGTGACCATTGTGCTCTGCAGTCTTGCTAAGAATGCAGTGGACAGCACGTCGCACTGCGCTGTCGTTGGGGCGTAGGCTGTAAAGGTGCAGTAGTTGCTGAGTGTTGAGTAGTACGTGGAAATCCCAAATGTAGGTGTAGTGAAGGGTGAAGTCGTTGATGTTGTAGTTGACCAAGGAGGCTCCCTGGTGGTGGGACAAGCGAAGGGTGTAATGGCTTTGGATTGAAGTTGAGTGACCTAGTCACGCACGAAGTAGTCCAAGTTGTTGTCTTGGAGTAGTCGTTGGACGTAGTCTGTGGAAAGTGAAGTTGCGACGAGAATGTAGTCATTGGCGTGGTTGGTGGATGTGTGGAGTTCGGTCAAGCGGTAGCAATGCCACAAGTGGGCATCTGCTGCCGAGTGCAGTAGTTGTAGTCGGTCGTAGACCGGCTGATGTAGCTTGCCCGGTAGTGAGTGTAGTGGCAAAAAGCGTGTTGCTGGTTCTGAAGTGGCCGCGGTGTAGAAAAGATTGGCTGCAGTGTCATCAGCCTGTCCTGCAGTGAGAAAGCAGTAGTTCTCACCTGTCAGGGGATATAGAATTTGGTGTATTATGGTGTTGTGGGTAGTGTGGGCATGGCCTGTAGTAGGATGGTGTCGTTTGATGTAGGTTGAACTCGTTTCGTTGGAGTTGTAGACGTCTTGTAGGTGTGAACTGAATGGCAGTGGTGTGGTCTGTAGTTGAAAATCGTGGCGCGCCTGTGGTTGGATGAAGTTGTGAACTGGTAGTTGGACGGGTGTAGTAGTCTTAGGCGACGCCATGTCAACCTCGCCCTCAGCCATTGTAGTCGCAAAGTGGTCCATGGCTGTAGTCCTAAAAAGAAGTGAAACGGGGCACCCAAACTGGGCCTGTAGTTGCTAGCAGGAAGCGAGCAGACATTCTAAACAAACAGACATGTAGTGCTGACTGAAGCCGCCAAACATGCCGCCAAAAGTGCAAGTGACATTACATGTAATTACTGTTACTTACATACCAAAAGTGTCATGTTACACGCAGCTGCTACATACAACATGTTTGAAGTCGTTGTTGTTAGTTGCGCTGGTCATTCGTAGTGCTACATGTGTATCCCAATGCTCTGGATGAGCCTGTGTAGTGTTTCCTTGCTAATGTATTTAGTAAACAAATCTGGCCTTTTGTCAAGTGTGTTGATCTTGAGAATTCTGATGACGTCGCGTTTGATTAGGTCTGTAGAGGAATTTGGGGTCGACGTGTCTTGCTCGTTTGCTTGCGCCTTGTTGTGTAGCAATGCTCTTGCCCTGCTGTGGAGTCTGTGTGAATGCGTAGGTTTAGCTTGCTGCAAATGCTTGTTTCGAGTAGGCAGTTTCTGAGGTGTAGTCCCTCGTTAACTCCTGCGCAAATCGCGTAGAGATCAGATTCTTCTGAAGTGAGTGCTATTGCAGCTTGTGTTCTGCTGCCAAATGCAACTGTTGTTCCAAGAAAGATGATGTTGAAACGTGAAGTTGATTTCCTGGTAGTAGGGCATCCTGCTCAGCCAGCATCGACATGAACGTCGAGAGCCAGGATGTTGTTGGTGTTTGCTCGTAGTGTTGTTGTTGGTTCTATGGTGAATTTGTAGTGTTTGGCGCCGTGCAAGTAGCGTAGTAGGCGCTTGACTCTCTTTTGTCAAAGTTCTGTAGGTGCTGTGAGGTCCCGCGCTAGTTATTTTATAGCGTAGGCAATGTCTTGTCTTGTGCATGCTAACCATTGAAGTTTGCCAACAAATTATTCTGCCTTTTGTGTTGTTCGTGGTCGAGTAGTGCTTCAGCCTCTATTGTTGGCTTGTAGTGGGCGATTCCTGGAGCGGTCGCTGCGTTGCAGTTGGTCATTCCAGTCTCCTCGATCATGCTGTCGATGTAGGAGTCCTGAAGTCCAAGAGTGCACTAGTTGCCGAAGCGCTCGATGTTTCTTCCCAGGAACTGTTGTGGTTTGCCAGGCTCGAGGTAGCCAATGTGCTTGAGTAGTACCTGCTTCTGGATGGCCTCGAAGGAATCGACAGTAGTCTTATCTCCAAGAACAGGTCATGCACGTAGACCATGATGTAACAGTCGCGATTTGCATCGCTGTAGACGTTGGGTTCTGACTTTAGTCTCACAAAGCGGAGCTTTTGTAGTACTTCAGCCAGGTAGTCCTGCCATGCTTTAGGCGAGCTGCGTAGTCCATACATGGCTTTCTTTAGCCGCCATAGTTTGTTCTTTAGTGGACAATGTGTTTTAGGTGGCCAAAGGTAGATGTAGGGTTGTTTGCCGTCGTGGTCTTTTGCGACGGGCGCGTGTAGAAATGCCGTAGAGATGTCGTCCGACGTCTTGTGTAGCTCTTCTCTTTTCTGACGATGGTAGTTGCGCGTCCAACAGGGTTGCGAATGACGGGTTGTAGGTGTTCCGTCGCGGCGCCCGAGGTGTGGAAACTTTGTTTAGGAACGCGAGGTCGTGTTTGAAGTCTGGTTGTAGTCTCCGTGCTGTTCATGCTTTCTGTACGCCTGTTTCTGTTGCGACGTCGTTTTCTCCGGTTCTTTTCCGAGCCAAGCGCATTTCTGCGTTCGTAGGTCTGCTTTCGGAAGTTTCTTGTGTTGCGGTGGAAGGTAAAGTAGTGTGTCGCCAAATTCACAAATCGCTCGCTCGTAATGTCTTCCCCAGCGACGTTCGAAGCTTGTGTAGCCGTCGGGGTGGATGACGTAGCGATTTACCGTCCATGCTGCATGTCGTATTATTCAAGGTAGTAGACAGTGCTTTGTGGACATTGTCATGCTGTAGTTGCTTTCGACTTGTGCTTTGACAACACGTGTCTGTCCAAGGAGCGTTCGATGTAGTTGCCCGGCGCCTCCTTGACTGTTGCTGCTGTAGGAGGGTGCGTGCCGAACAGTCATTGAGCCAACTTTGGCTGCTGTGGCTGTTAGAAGTGCGTTGAGTGTGTCCTCGTTATTGCTTTGTAGCGCGCCTTGTGTTCTTCCGCACTCGAAAATGAATGCTTGTAGGTTGTTGGCCATGTAGTCCATCATTGGTGGTTTGTCCGGAACCATTCCGTCAACTGCTGTTAAGACTGGTGTGGTCTTTGGATCTTGTTGCGATTTGATGTAGGCAGCTTGGTTCTTGTAGTTGTCTTGGCGTCCCTGGCATTGCACGCACATTGGACACCAATTTCTGTATAGTAAGTGTGTCAAGCTGTGTTCTGCTATTTGTTGTGGAGTTGGTTGTCCTCTTGCTCCAAGTGCTTCGTGGCGTTCGTGTTGTTGTTCCTCGTCGTGGTTCTCCTGGATGTAGTCGTAGTCCTTCTTTATGGTGAACCTTGTTGCGCCTTTCCATTGAAACGGTAGGCTGCGTTGCCCATGCCTGCCCAGTCATCTTTGCGTTGCGAGACTTCTCCAAAGTTGTTGTTGGTGATTGCAGTTCTGTGAGGCAGTGTAGTTCTAAGTGATATGTGGTGTCTTACCCAGCGTGCACCTTGTCTTTCCCAGTAGTCTTGGTTGCCTTCTTGTGCTGTGAGCGGTCTGTGTACGGTCGCTGGTTGTGTGGTATCAAGGTCTGTAGAAGGCGCTGCTTTGGGTCTGCGCATCGTTTGTGGAGCTCGTAGTTGCATCTTTGGCTTTGTTGGTGGTGTCTCCATTAGTTGTTTCGGTTGTGAGCTCTGTCTTGTTGGTGTGGTGTTTGATGTTGCTCTGCGTGTAGGTGTTATTGTTCTTCTGAATCTGGTTTCTCCAGTCCAGTTGTCACCTTGTAGTCTTCTTTGTACTTCCTGCTTGGAAAGTTGATGACGGTTAGTCACCAACCATCTAGTTCTTCTTCTGGTGTTTGGCAACCGCGGTTGTGTGGTGTGAAGGTTGCTTTGCGTGGTCGTTTGTGGACTCTGATGGCGTAGTCACCATCGAGTTTCCCAAGGATCTGTCGCAATCCTTGGTCCGCGTGTGTTAGTTGCGCAATTTGTTCTTGTTGTTGTTTTGCCTTCTCTGTCGGTTGGATCACAGCAATGGGATTTCCATTGTCTGTAGTGATCTTTGGGTAGATGTCGAATCCTGTAGATGTCGATCTTTTCTGCAGCCTTCGTGCCAGGAGGCGCGTCAACCACGTAGTCAATGACAAGGCAGTTGGGGTTCGAATCCCGTAGGGTGACCAACACCCTCGACAATGGAGTCGTGTAGTAGCGGTCGTTGTAAAAGGGGGTTGTAAGGACAATGGTCTGCGCTGTCTCACGACTCAATGCGACGGCGGAATACGGACCTCTTGTTTTGCTTCACAGCTGTATGTTGGATGTTTCGCCTTGAATCTCTTATCAAGGACTTGAGCCTGCAAATGCATTCGCATGTACAAGTCGGCTGTTCAAACAACAATCTCCACAAAAGGTTTGAGGGACCTTAAAGGAGCAAAAAAGAACAAGGCGACCCT